TCCGGTGTTTTCAATTCCTTTCTTAATTTAATAGAGATCCAGCCTCATCCAACGAACGGCGCGTAGCAGAGGTATTCTACTCCAACAGTACATAGGCCCTGTACGACATGCAAAGAACAGATCAAATCCCCTGACAGACTCACACACTTTGGTGATGTCCTCATCTGATAATGTTTCATTTTTTAGCAGCAAAGTAACATTACTCAAAGTATATGTCGGACCCAACTCATTTACAGTATGTTTTGCATCTCCTCAACAATGGTCTGTATCATTGAGTAGAAAAAAACTGTCCCTACAATTTCAGGTAGATTAACACACATTTGTAGGAAAAGTTTACAATGAAGCACCCTCTTTGTATTAAGCGAGCTGCCACACAAAGTACAGCTTAACATGCTAACCTTTGGTAGAGTGAGCTACAGTTAGCTAACTTCATGTTCAACACAAAACCTCTAATGGCATTGCATTGACGATTTTAAACAAAACTTAACTCTCTCAACTTGTAAGATAACGTTAAGTTAACTTACCCTTAAATAACTACGTCACGTTTTTCAGGGGAAACACAAATTGCAGAAAGCGTTAGCTGTTGTTAGCTAAGACAGCTAGCTCTTGTTAAGGGAAGTAACAATAGCCTCCTAGCAAATGTAAGGTTAATTTAACATTAACGTAACGTTGTAAGAAAGCAAAACAAACCTTCGAGAAAGCTTTTACTCTCAGACTTTGTGAAATTGTGTAGTGTTGCTTACCTCCAGAAGGACTTTTAGTGCGTTTCCCAGTAAACAGAGCTGTCAGAGCGGTTCCTCTCAGAAGAGCAGCCGCTGGGCGCAGTCACAGAAACGCTCAACTGATCTTCACTAGAGATGGGCGAGTCCTGATTCATCCGGATCATTAACCCGGATCCTAGAAATGAGCTGGTCATGACGAGTCTCCCCTCTCCATTAACCCGAGTCCTTGAGTCCCACACTTGGTGTGACGTACAAATTAAAACTATAAATTGCGTCACTCGCTACTCTCTTTATAACATGTAAAATCACATTACAACGTACCCCAAGTCCATCTACCTACCCTTTAGCAAGTATACAGGATAGCTGCCAGAAGTGATCGTTTGGCTCAGGGGAGGGGACGCGGATCAGTGAAACTTCCTGCAGACTCGTGGGGACTCAGAGGAGCCGACGGCTCCAACAGCAGACTCGCAGATTCGCAAATCCTGACTCGCTGCAACACACAGCAGACTCGTGCGGACTCAGAGCCGTATATAGCAGCAGATCCAGAGATCCAGCAGACTCGTCGTCATGCACGAGTCCACACAGCAGACTCGGATTCGCAGATTCGCAAATCCTGACTCGCTGCAACACACAGCGGATCAGACTCGTGCGGACTCGGAGCCGTAACCATATAGCAGCAGATCCAGAGATCCAGCAGACTCGTCGTCATGCACGAGTCCACAGCAGACTCGGATTCGCAAATCCTGACTCACTGTGTGTGCAACACACAGCAGAGCAGACTCGTGCGGACTCGGAGCCGTATATAGCAGCAGATCCAGCAGACTCGTCCTCATGCACGAGCAGACTCAGATTTGCCAAATCGCAAAATAACCCTTTTTTTTGTGATCAACATTTTTTATTAAAGCAAAATACACTGTGTAGCGGAGGTTAATTATAACGTCAGTTTAATAGATAGATAGATAGTACTTTATTGATCCCAAATTGGGAAATTGTTGTTGTTACAGCAGCATAAAAGGCATTTTACAATAAAACAAAACTACAAAATATACAAGAATAGAAATAAAAATAAAATATACATGTCGAAATAGAAAATATACATGCAGATATTATATATATATATATATACAAATATATATATATATTCAAAATATATGGAATAATAATATGCTCGTGAAATGCAACAACTTTTCGGTTTCACCAATAGGATTTCTACGGTCTTGGTCATGCTGACTCATATGACTCAAATGACTCGTATGATCCGGATCTCTTCAATGACTGACTCAGAAGACCCTGAGTCCGTAAAATGATCCGGATTTGCCATCTCTAATCTTCACTCCCCGACCGTTAGTGCCAGTCAAAACCGTTTTATACCGCTTTGTTTCAACCACTGCCGTCTCGCCGTTCCCCCTTATCCCGCCCTATCTGTCTGTCTGTGTCTGTTTCAGTTTCGCCAGCAAGACTGCTGGACCAGCATAAATACCAGCTTCACAAGCATAGACCATTGAGAGCCTCAACTGAGCCGCAAATGCAGCGCACCTATGCGCTTATGCGGCGCAATTATGGCGCATTTCCACTGCTGGGCCTCACACGGCTTAGTACGGTATCGTTAGGCCTTGGTAGGCCAGGCTCACTTTATGCTGCGTTTCCATTACAGTTTAGGAACTGGGGTAGTAACTGCCGTGACGTCATCTTCAATGCGAAACACAAAACCAACATCAGCCGTTAGCTGTTAGCACTCAGAGCTCACAGCTCCTCATATCTGTTCAGAAACTAGACAAAAGTTAAACAAGTACAAACCACAGACTGTCTGTGTCATGGCGAATACAGTCGCTGGTTTATTTATGTCTGTAGGCCGTTGTTGTGAGTGTGGACGGTTGGAGCATATACACTGTTAGCTTAGCCGATCTCCATTCAGAAAACACGCATTTTAAAAGGTTTTTCGCCTGCCGTCTTGTCTGCAGACTTGTCAAAGCATTAATTCATGGTTTTTACTAACCGGTATCAGTATGTTGTTACTTCGGCATCATTTTGAAACGTGTATTACAATTAAATCACGGTAAAATATGTTCATTTTGTTGTAGTTGCCAGCGATTCTCTCACTAGTTTAGCATACTCAGCCCGGTTGTTGGCCCGGAAAGAACCTCGAATTTGGAGAGCCAGAAAAACTGTGAAAAAGTACCCGCTAGCCGGAACTACGCCTAGTGGAAACGCAACCAAAAACGGCATGCTTAAACCGTGCTCCGCGCTGTAGTGGAAATGCGCCATTAGTGTGGTAACGCCGCTGCGAGGCTCCACTAGCACAACCAACCCCGTCCGTCCATCCGTCGATGCACGCGAAACAGAGGGCCTCATCATATAACTTTGCGTGGGGCCTCAAGTTGGCCAGGGACGGCCCTGGCCCCATACATTACATTACATTACATGTTACTTGTTAGACGCTTTTATCCAAAGCGACTTACATACTCAATACTGTGGACAATCCCCACAGGAGCAATTTGGGGTGAAGTGTCTTGCCCAGGGACACAACGACATGCTGACTGCAGTGGGGTTTGAACCTGTGACCCGCTGATCCAAACACCTACATCCAAACACCTACGCACAACCCACTGCGCCACACACCGCCATACATTTCAGAATCAGAATCAGAAGCAGGTTTATTAGGTAGGTTGACACGTACGAGGAATTTGACTTGATGTCCCTTAGTGCAGGCTCCTTGTTCAGCCTTATCCTAACATGAGTGGGTTCAAGAGCGGCCGTCTGAGTCCGTACAGTCTCTACCTGGGATGCTGTGAGAGGGACTGAAATGTCCCATGTTTACTGGAACAGTCCCTGAAGACACTCTGGTGGACGGGAGTGAGATCAACCTCTGCTTTACGAGGTGGATGATTGGGGAAGCCAAAGCCTGGGACGCCACTAGAGAAAAGAGCTAAGAATATTTTAAGAGTACGCTTTGTATTTTTATATTGTGGTTGATGTTTACAGTATTTTTCAGTTGCTAACACACTACAATTTCACATAAAGCATAACTATTTACAGTTTTTTTCAATTGCTGAAACACAGTTTTTGACAACAGGGCTAATTTTCTCTAAACACTTAACACAATTCTCAAAACCACACACCCAAAGTGCAAAAGGGTTCATTTTTCTTGTAAAATGAAGCACTGCAACCAAAACTATATAAACACTTTGCACCAAACGGCACACATTTCATTTATAGTACAGACTTTGTCCAACCAACTACACACCATCGTGCTCAATCTAAAGCACACTCATCTTTTAAGGCGTTCTGTCTGTAGAGAATTCTGCATATAAAGATTGTTCAAGTCTACTAAAACATGTGCAGAAACATATACTGTTGTTATACTTAAGTTTTTCTCCAAAACAAATCGGTGCAACATTCATGCACAACAAATAGTTACAGTTGTGAAAACAACAATGATGCCTCTGTCAAATACAGTAAATGGAAAGGAACACTTTGAGGAAAAAGAAATACAAAAAATATATTTCAAAAATATTTTTACAAAAAACAGAGGAAAGAATGCTGAGGCTGCATTTGACCAACTCACTGGGTCTGACCACAGCCCCTCTTCCACCTGCAGAAGAAGCATCACCTGTAGCCTGACGGTTATACAGCTCCAACCATTATGCTGCAAATAACTCTTTACCTGACTTCAGTTCATCCTCCATCTCTCTCATCCTCCCTTTTCCTCTTCCTCTTGCCGCTATGTCCATAAATTCATTGTTGTTTATGGTCATTTGGCACGTGTGTTTGTTGATTGGTCCATGTGTGTAGCATTTTTAATGGCAGTGTTTTGAAAATGGCAAACAAGTGAATATGTCAGATTTCTGTTAGAGAACTGTGTGCAGTGTTTTGCAAAAAGTGCCAAGTTGAATTGCAAACTTGATTCAGAGCTGAAAATGTGCAGATTTGAACTGAGGATTTGCTCTTTGAGTGTCAGTTTAAATGATTGTGCTTTATGCGAGATTTTAGGGTGTTAGCAACAGATCTTTTAAAAATACATCCATAGTCTGGAACACAACTTTCTAATGGTCCTGAGTCTCCGGACTCCGGACATGTCCTCTGACGCGGATAGGCTTGAATCATTTCTGATGATCCCATTGGCTCACCTACTTTACGTCATGACGTCTTGTTGTTGGCGGAGGGGCGGGGGCAGTGCATTTAGGGGAGCTACCGAGCAGCAACATCTGAGAAAGCCGCCGAAAGACACTCGGTTTCCAGGTGAGATTCAGCGGGATACACTGAGAATTATTCTGACAGGCGTTCCTGAGCGTCTCCTGCTTTAAAGCTGAAGTGAAGGACACCGACAGGAAGGGCAGACATCCAGTACATGCTCTGACACAGCAGCTAGCGGAAGCTGAGCTGGACTGACGGTAGCTAATGAGTGGAGAGGCTGCTAAGAGATGCAGGCAGGTTTCGATAGGCCTGTAAGCCAACAGCAGGCGGCTTTCACTGAGGCTCACTTTTCTTACCGGTATGTTTTAACATAGCCTGGCCAAATGTCATGCCTTCAGGTGAGCGGTGACGCAGACACTGTTTGACTCGCTGGAGCACGGTGAGCAGGAGACCAGTGACCCATATATCGGGTAGAGAAAGGTTATCGATGCACACTTCGGCAGCCTGCCATACGATGTCTTTGAATGATTTAGTGTAACAATATAAAATATAAACTTATATTGTCTTCTGGGCTCAAACTTCTATTTTCTGTCACACCTAGGTCACAGTTTACTACCTGTAGTCAAAGCTGAGTCCTGGAGACTCAGCTTTGACCTCATGCTTCCTGTCATTACATTTGTTCACACAGATAGGGGTAGGACTCTTAGCTGTTATTACCTCCTAAATCTTCTTTACTGACAACTTTGATTTACTCGCCAGTGTTTTCACTCGTTTTACATTCTTAAAGTATAATGCATATTATTTAAAATAATCTGAGGCCCTTATTTTGACAGTTGCAGGAATGTATAAAAGGTATTATATTAATGAAATAATCCAAAATATATAAAAAATCACTAGATACAATAAAATTAAATCGTGAAAAATAATGATGAAATATATTTTAGTAATAATAATACATTTAATTTCAAAGTGCTTTTTCAGGTGCTCAAAGACGCTTTACAGTGGTGATAAAACGAGATAAAATAGAATAAAAAATTATTAAAACAGCAACACATATTATAATAGAATAAAAAAATATTAAAACAGCAACACAACATAATTCTCAAATTAAAAGCCATTCTGAAGAGGTGTGTTTTGAAAGTGGGTGGGTCGGTGCAGTCTCTGATGTGTTGTGGAAGGGAGTTCCAGAGGGTGGGGGCAACGATGGAGAAGGCTCTGTCCCCCCAGGTTCGGAGCTTGGTTCGTGTGGGGATAGAAAGGAGGTTCGCTTCTGATGAACGAAGGCTGCGGGAAGGGGTGTAGTGGTGGATCAGGTCGGTGAGGTATGGGGGGGCCTGATTATTGAGAACTTTGTGTGTTAGCAGAAGGATTTTGAAGTGTATTCGTTGACGGACAGGGAGCCAGTGCAGGTTTTGAAGGATGGAATTTGGATGATGAACCATACAGGATGCTGTTGCAGTAGTCCAGTCTTGAAGTGATGAATGCGTGGATGAGGGTTTCAGCAGCCGGGAAGGAGAGTGAGGGGCGGAGGCAGGCAATGTTTTTTTAGATGGAAGAAGGCGGTCCTGGTGATGTGGTTTATGTGTTTATCGAATTTGAGCTGGCTGTCAAAAAATTACTCCAAGGTTGCGAATGTGAGGAGAGGGTTAGAGTGGTGTTGTCAAGGGTGAGGTTGAAGTTCTGGGTGGTGTTGGAGCTGAGGTGGGATTTCAGTTGGGAGGCTACAACACGTCCGAGTAGTTTTGATAGGAAGGGGAGATTCGAGATGGGCCGGAAGTTGGACATGATGTCAGGTGTGAGTCCAGATCTTTTCAGTATGGGTGTAACAGCAGCCAGTTTGAGTGAGGACGGGACCGATCCAGAGCAGAGGGAGGAGTTAATGATTATGATTTATGAGTTGGGAGATGGGAGGGAGGCATGCCCTGACAAATGTTGTTGGTATGGGGTCCAGAGTGCAGGTGGAGTTCATTCCAGCCATGAGGGTGGACAGTTGCATTGGGGTCACAGGGGAGAACCGGGATAGGGGCTGTGAGGTGAAGGGGGGGGGAGCCAGGAGGGGAGATGGGGAGGGCTGCTGAGGAGGTCAGGTTTCTATAAATGCTGTCGATTTTGGATTGAAAGAATGAGAGGAAAGAATTGCACTGTGCGTTTGTGAAGGATGGGGTGGCGTTGTCACAGGGTTTAAGGCAGTGATTCTCAAATGGGGGTACGCGGACCCCTGGGGGTATGCGGACCCCTAGGGGTACGTTGGGGTACTGCAGGGGGTACGTGAGATAAACATTTATAAAAAGGTTAATTAAAAAAATACCATGCATGATTACAAAAATAATCATAGTACAATAAGTTAACACAATTTTATATAAAATACTCCTAGAACCGCCAAGGGTTCAAGATCCGTTCTTGTGCATTTCTGGTGCTTAACTGGTTCTTCTCTGTTTTTACAAGTGTGTGGTCACGTTCTAGTCACTTTGCTCAGCGCTACTGCTTGTTAAACAAAATGCCGTCAATATCAGGAGGCGTATGCTTTGATGGGATTCACGTCAACAAACGGCAACCCGCCCCAGGCATTGTGTTTTTTCTGTGGGGAGAAACTAGCCAACAGCTCGATGAAACCAGCGCACCTCCAGAGACATCTCAGCATCAAACACCTGTGTCATGTTGGTAAGCCACCGGAGTTTTTCAAGAGAAAACTTGCTCAGTTCAGATCCTCGCAAGAGATGATGCGAAAAGCCTCCGCAACATCAGCCAAAGCACTGGAGGCATCGGATGCGGTGTCTCTTCTCATCGCAAAAGCCGTACACGATCGCTAACGACCTACAACTCCTAAATAGTGTCATTGCAGTGTTATTACATAGTTTGTTTATAATTGCACTTTTTTTTTTTCTTGTATATTCATGGGGTTTCGGTTGGTATAGTTGCACATCAGGCACCACAGTGGATTTTATTATAATATTTGTGTATTGTATTTTATAGTTTTTGTATAATATATATAATATTGTTCATTGGTTTGTTAAACATATATTACTTAAAAATCTGTTTAAAAAAAACGTCTCATGCATAAAGATGAAAATATCCTTAGTTTGTTGTAATTCATGCATGAAGGAGTTGTCGGGGTCGGTCAGGGGGTACTTGGCTGAGAAAAATGTTCAAAGGGGGTACAATACTGAAAAAAGTTTGAGAAGCACTGGTTTAAGGAGTGTGCTGATGGTGGAGAACAGAGCCTTGGGGTTGCTGGAGCCGGAGTGTTTCAGTTGTGAGTAGTAGTTGGACCGGAGTTGCCCATTTCCAGTGTTAAATGCTGAGAAAACTCCCTAGAGTCTTTTTCTGGCGTGGTTTATGTTTAGTCCCATCTGTTGACAAAAGCTTCTCTAGAGAACCAAACCTTTCTCTTGCCACGTAACTCTCTTCTCTTCTCTTCTTCTCTCCTCCTCTCCTCCTCTCCTCTCCTCTCCTCAGCATGCGGTGACTGAGGCCTTCAGGCTCAGTGGATCTGGCAGCAGCAGCAGCAGGCGTCTGGCTTGATGAAGGATGAAGAGCCCGGTGCACAGATGCAGGGATGTGGAGCACGGCCGTGGGCAGGGCACGGGGGGGGCTGGGACCACCTGCCTGCAGGCCGAGCAGCGCATCCCCATCTCCAAAGACGTCATCACCTCCTCTGCTGCCTCGGCCATGTGGTTCATCAGGGACGCCTGCGGCATCGTGTGCGCCGTCATCACCTGGATGCTGGTGCTGTATGCAGAGTTCGTGGTGCTGTTTGTGATGCTGCTGCCCTCCAAGAATCTGATGTACAGCATTGTGAACGGGACTCTGTTCAACATTCTGGCCTTCCTTGCCCTCGCTTCACACCTCAGGGCCATGTGCACTGACCCTGTAAGTGGCACTTATTTGGTGATATAGAAATTATTCACATTCATTAAGAATTAGTTGACAGGCTAGCAAGGTTTAAAGGAACGCATGAAAGTTTAGGGCACAGTCCTGATAAATGGAGCTTTACTTTCAAAGAGTTATCAGGGAATGTTTAGCCTGTCCCTTCTTTATTTCATTATGATGATGCTGCTGAAGTCCTCTACTGTGTGCTCCTGTTTCTTGCTAGGGTGCAGTGCCAAAAGGGAATGCTACTAAGGAATACATAGAAAGCCTTCAGCTGAAACCAGGGCAGGTGGTCTACAAATGCCCCAAGTGCTGCAGCATCAAGCCTGACCGAGCTCACCACTGCAGGTAGGACAGAGAGGGCTGCCGTGTGAGGCGTTCACTGACCCAGTCACATGCTTACAGCTGCATCTTGTGGTGCAGTGAATGAAGTCTCATTTCTGAATTTGGTACATTTGTAAAATAAGAACTCAGAATGTAGGATGTAGGTCAGAATGTATTCGATAAAATGTTTCATTCTTCTCTTTTCTTTATTTCCTAACTTGCTGTCTCTCTCCCAGTGTTTGCAAACGCTGCATACGTAAGATGGACCACCATTGCCCCTGGGTCAATAATTGTGTTGGGGAGAACAACCAAAAGTACTTTGTGCTTTTTACAGTAAGTACAGTAACTGTCTCGTTAGATTATAACTAGGGATGCTCCAATTGCCAATTTTGGGGCCGATCGCCGGAATCAGTATCGGCCGATACCGATCGCCGATCCGATAGAGTGGGCGGGGCCTAAATGGAAGATTTAAACATCACTTTAAATCTTCCATTTAAAGTGATGTTTAAAACTCAGTTAATGGGGCTCATTCACTGGAGCTTCCACAAACAACAATCAACTTAATTATTACATTCAAATGATGTACATCTTTCAAGTTTACATTCACTTTGGATAATACCACGGGAGAAATGAGCGGAAGCGCTCTCTTTTCCTCTCTCCCTCTCTCTCTCCCCCTCTCTCTCTCTCTCCTGACAGCCTGTCAGTATCTCATGCAGCTCACTGATCCAGTAATGAGTGACCCGACAGTGAAGAATAAATATATTTATAATTATAACTAGTTTATAGAGCGTGTGTTAGGTCTAACTCTTGTGTGTTTCGCTCCGCTCACCGGTCCGTCACAGCGGGTGGGCTGCAGGATTTCTGCTTCACACACACGTTGCATACCGCTATTTTACTGTCTTTTTCGGACACCTTAAAATAATGCCAGACCGGTGAAGCCATTTTGGCGAGCTTGTTTTGCCGCGCACAGAGAAAAGTGTCATGTATTTTACGTCATGCGATCGGCTCTCGCGATCGGCATGTTTAGAGAGCACCGATCGATCGGTAGAGAGTGAGTATCGGCAGATCTCGATCGGTGACCGATCGATCAGAGCATCCCTAATTATAACTGAAGAAGTGTAATAGCAGAAATGTGTGTCCCTAGAAACTGATTTGAATAGCATCATTTGAATTGTTCTACTTCAATACAATAATTGCATAAAAATAATAATTATTGTATTACTTTGGATCTGTATTTTAATTGAATATTATAAGTGAGATGAGTTCAGTTGCCCTGAAACTGTTTTTTAACCTCATTGAAAGTTCAACTGTAGTGATAGATAGACATTCAGTTCTCACTATTAAAAATCAGTTCTTACTTTTTGCCACATATATTTAACTTCAACACTGTTTCAAATACACAAACACTGCTACTAGGTCATAACTATTAAAGCACTACATGAACTCAAGGTTCTTTATTTAGTCATACGAACATAGCTACAGTGTAGTTATGCCGATGGAAATCTTAGGTCACAGGCTTCTCCAACTGTGCAACACAAAACACAGATAAACAGACAAATATAGTGCAAGTAAATACAAAAAGAAAAATAGTTTAAAAAAGTGAAATAGTGCAATAAGAGTCTATATGCAAGTTATTGGAATATGATATATTGGGTAAATAGATAAATCATTTCGAAGTAGCAGCCAGATGAATATTATGGATGTTGTTTAAACAGTTCAGGTGTTTAACAGATTTTGCTTCAACAGTTCAGGTGTTTAACAGTCTTATGAAACTGTCCCTGAGTCTGGTGGTTTTTGTCCGGATGTTGCGTTATCACCTGCCAGATGGCAGCAGACAGAACAGTTTGTGGCTGGGGTGATGGGGGTCTTTTATAATCCGGAGGGATTTCTTCCTGAGCCGCTGGGAGTAAAGGTCCTCCATGGATGGCAGCTCCGTCCTGGTGATGTGATGTGCTGTGCAGTTTTCACCACCTTCTCTAGAGTCTTACGATTGAGGGCCGTGCAGCTGACGTACCAGGCCGTGATGCAGCCAGTCAGGATGCTCTCTATGGTGCACCTGTATAAGTTGCAGAGTATCCTGGAGTCCATGTTGAACCTCCTCAGCCTGCGGAGGAAGAAGAGCCGCTGTCGAGCTTTCTTGGTGATGGTGATAGTGTGAAGAATCCATGTCAGGTCCTCAGTGATGTGGACACCGAGGAACCTGAAGCTGCTGACTCTCTCCACCGTAGTCCCATTGATGGCGATGGGGGTGTGTCCCTCTCCCTGCTGCTTCCTGTAATCCACAATCAGCTCCTTGGTTTTGCTGACGTTGAGATGGAGGTTGTTATCCTGGCACCAAGATGTCAGGTTTTCGACCTCCTCTCATCTGGCTGATGACGGTCGTGTCGTCAGCAGACTTCACGATGGTGTTCGAGCTGTGTGTGGCCACGCAGTCGTGTGTGTGAACAGGGAGTAGAGGAGAGGGCTGAGCACGCAGCCTTGAGGGGCTCCGGTGTTGAGGATCAGGGTGGAAGATGTGATGTTTCCCACCCGCACTGCCTGGGGTCTGTCTGCCCTCGGGCTCAACTGAGCTTGATGACCAGCTTGGAGGGCACAATGGTGTTGAAAGCTGAACTGTAGTTAATGAACAGCATTCTCACATATGTGTTCCTCTGCTCCAGGTGTGAGAGGGCAGTGTGGATGGTGAGGGCTATAGGCGCGTTCACACCAAGTACTTTTCCCACAATAGTTCATGAGAACTCAGTTCATGAGAACTCTTTTAGTTCTGATGAACTAAAGCAGATTGCGTTCACACCAAAATGAGTTCCTGGGGGAGGATTAGGCAAATGAAGCCGCTGACGTCACTTCTTCTTCTTCTGCTTTGGGTTTACTGGCAGGCCGCAAACAACTTCACGGCGAGTACAGTAGGTGGCGGTATGCACCTTAAAGCTGCAATCCGCCAAAAAACCGAGAGAAAAAGAAGAAGAAAAACCTCCCGCGTATACTGCTGCGCCCACCTGCAGTATATGGCGTCTGTTTACCTTCCGACCTCAGACATGAGCTTCGTCTGAGTTATTTAAGCAAACACAAATACAGATCGTCGACCAGTCAAATGCAATAGCAATGCTGATTCTGAAGCGAAGGCGGTTAAGAAGGATTGACAAAAGGATTGGACGACGACATGCACGCGCTATGGATTGCGTAACCTGTGTGAAATGAATAAACTGTGCCAGGTGTGTCGTATGCACTGTAAATAGGCTCAGCAGTTAACACACCTTTATTATATATCCTCCTGAGAGCAACTGCATCCGTCTGCCATGAACCCTACAGAAACCTACGTGTTAGTTTTGGCCCATAGTGGCCTCCATTTGTGTCGTGTAAAATAGGGGAAATAAAAAGTTAGCAAATCCCCATGTCATGTTCATAAAAACATTTAGTTTTAGGTCAAATAATTATTACACTGCTCTGAAACTCACTACACTAACTCCTAAAATGTTCCCTTACTATAATTAATTAAAATATTGAACTCACAACACTGGTAATTACAAACTTAACCATTGCTTGTGTTGATGGACGCCATTTTGAAATACAATGAAATTATCTTTTTGAAAGCCACAATAAATAAAGCTTCGCCAGTTTATAACCGATGAAACATGATGGTATCAGAATAATCACTTACATGTGATGTATAGGATGCTACACAGGTCACTGTAAAGATAAAGTGTCAGAGGAGAAATAAGCAAGCTTAGTTACATGAAATGTAATGAAAAATGTAAGAATCGCTGTGTAGGTTCTCTTTTATTGCACACTCAAGACCATATCAATAACGGCATCACGCTGTCCCAGGTGTGTCGTATGCATGTAAATAGAAGTTAACATTTTCAATATAAAATTAAGTGTCAGTAGTATCAAAATATATATATAATTGGCATGGCTAACCATGCTAGGCTGAACTGGCTAGCAGTGTTAGCCAGTTCTGGCTAGCATGGCTAGCTCGATCTACTGAGCAAATAAAAGTACATCTGAGACCAGTATTGTGCAGATTAAAACAGTGCAGTGCATGTAGTTTATTTTACCTTCATAGTCGTCGTCGTTGGACAATTCACAGGCCACTGAATCCGCCGTTTCACCACAAGTGCCGGAGAATGAGGGTCTGTGGCCGAGCAGAGCATCCAATCGATCATACCATTTACGGGTCTTCCGGCCGTTAACCACTGTTATTATGGTCTTTTATTTGTTTGTAGTCCTGCTTTAGTTTCTTTATTATGTCCCGGCATGAGTGTGCGATGTGGAAGATTCCCATGTCGGCTAACTTTACCGAACAACGCTGATACATTTTGCAGTTGGAAACTGCCTTCAGTAGAAGAGTAAATCGCCAGACGTGCCGACACCTCCTCATCACTCTACCGCTCCGATCATTTTCGTATTCTTATTGTTGCCATAATAACTGCTTTCACAAAAGTACTCTCGTTGGTGCGCTGGGCTAATAATGCCAGCAAATACAATAAAAACGGGGTAAAAATGGTTCTGATGAACTAATTTAGTTCCTGGGGCTTTTTGGTGTGAACGCAAATATATCGTAGTTCTGATGAACTATTGTGGGAAAAGTACTCTGGTGTGAACGCGTTTGCTCTGTAGGCAAACTGCAGGGGGTCCAGAGAGTCAGGGAGGGAGAAGGTGAGGAAGGTTTTGACTAACCGCTCAAAGCACTTCATAATGATGGAAGTGAGTGCTACTGGCACGCAGACACTCCCACAGCACCCCCCGCTGCTCCTTTGTAGTCTGTCATTGTTCTTAGTCCCGTCCACATGTTCCGGGTGTTACAGCCTTTAAAGTCAGATTCCACCTTCTCTTTGTACTGTCTCTTTGCACTGCTGATAGCTCTCCGGAGTTCATACCTAGATTTCTTGTACTCCTCCAAATCTCCAGCTCTGTGCGCGATAATGTGCGCTTTAAGCTTGCCACGCACCTCGCCATTTATCCAGGGCTTTTGATTCGGAAATGTTCGTACAGAAACCTTCGGTACCACGTCATCAATGCATTTCCCAATGTAGCAGATGACCGTGTGTGTGTGTGTTGATGTTGTCATCCTCAAACACGCTCCACTCCGTAGATGCAAAGCAATCCTGCAGAGCTGAATCTGACTCCTCACTCCATCGTTTTAGTGTCTTTGTTACCGGTCTGTCCCGTTTAAGTTTCTGCTTGTAAGCAGGCAGCAGCAGCAGTGAGATATGGTCTGATTTGCCGAAGGGAGGGCGAGGGAGAGCCTTATATCCATGTCGAAAAGGGGAATAAACATGGTCCAGTATGTTTCCCCCGCCTGTCGGCCAGCTGATGTGTTGGTAGTACTTCTGCAGGACCTTCTTCACGTTAGCAGTGTTAAAATCCCCGGCCACAACGAACGCCGCCTCTGGCCGTGAAGTCTCCGTCTTGTCGATAATCCCAAACAGCTGATCGAGTGCCGTGTTGTTGTCGGCGAGCGGCGGAATATACACTGCTGTTATCACAACAGATGTAAAGTCCCTCGGCAGGGGAAAAGCCCAGCATGTGATCATGAGGTGCTCTAAATGAGCGGAACAGTCCGAAGAAATAATCCTCACATCTGTACACCAGTTGTTATTATTACTCATGACACACACCACCTCCTTTACTTTACAAAAACGATGACAGCTTTAGCAATGGCTGTCGGTTAGCATAAACAATTCACAGGATTATTACCTCTTCAACACACTCATGTCACAATATAAGAAAGCACATTACTAGAGAGACTAGAGACTGTTGAGCGCATTTTCTGCAACCAGTGTTGCATTAAAACATAATGGAATTAGCAAGCTAGCTAGCTAACCAGCAAGGCTCTAAATGAGTAAAATCTCAAAACATCGAAATGCTCTTGCCACACGCTAAAGCCTCTAGTCATAGTCATTAAGCAGATTTCGATCATTAGCCAATCACAGCACAGTCAAAGCTGTGGTGATGTTTAAATATTTGTTACCGACATACCATACTACTAGACTAACTTTCAGTATTTAAGTTGAGTAATTCAAATGCTAATGTTTAGTTTCTAATCTCAACTAATACAACCATTGACAATAATAAATTGCCATCGGATTGTAGCTAAATTGTAGGTCACATATCATTACAGTTATTTTGTATCTCTGTAACGTGTTATTCCTAAAAGGTGAAATCAGAAGTAGTTGCTGCTTTAATGCAATGCAGATGAAAGGGATTCCTAAGTGAATACCACTGTGTTGTTGGTGTTTGTGAATAATGGTTCTTAATGTGTCCTCATTTCTCCTTTTTAACCAAGATGTACATTGCACTGATCTCCCTCCACTGTCTGGTCATGGTGGTCTTCCATTTCCTCTACTGCTTTGAAGATGATTGGACAAGTGAGTAATTTAAGAAAAAATCGTAATCCCATTCACTCACTTAACTGGAATTATAAACAGGACACACTTGTGGGATGCTTGTTCTATATCATTTAATTAAAATAATACATTTTTCTTAAATCCTTAAAGGAACCTATATCTTTTCCCCTTTTTTTTTCAATTACCTTTTTAAAGGAACATGCATTTACATGTAATGCTAATTCAAATTGATAAGACTTACAAACAGAATCATTCATATAAACAAAAAATAACATATAGTCAGTGTTTTACTTTTTAAATGTATGAATGATATTGTCATTGTTGGATTAATACATTAATATATCCTTACACTTTACAGCACTGTAGGCATATTATGGTATTATTTACATGCACCACTCTCTGATGCTGTGAAATTGTTATTATTGTTTCTTGGGTAAAGTGAATTTCTTTGAATGGGAATCCTCTAGAGCAGGGGTAGCCAACAAAGTGTTATCAGACTAAGAGTGTGTGTGCTTATACAAATCGCAGGATCAAATCCAACCTTTCAAAATAAAAATGTAACATTACCGCTTTTTCAAAGGGAACTTGATTTCACTCGGGGCACTTTGCAAGAAATCAGCTTACAGTGCTGTGTGTGTGTTACAATAACTCACTCCTGTTGTTTTATTTCATTTTCTTACATCATCCACGGTAGGGGTGTAACGGTTCACAGAATTCACGGTTCGGTATGTGCCTCGGTTTGGGGGTCACGGTTCGGTACGGGTTCAGTACAACAAGAAAAAGCAAAAAAAAGTCCCAAATGCTTAATTCCAGGTTTGTTGTTATTTATTTTTGAACAGTAGTGCAAGTTTCAGTATAAAAATAAGGAACTCTAACATTTTGAATAATTAACTGTATTACACAGTTAAAAACAAACCACAAACAGTACCACACACACGCCATGGCCATATTATCTATAATGGCTGATGTCAAACAAAAAAGAATGTCTTGAAAATATTACATAATAAATAATAAGAAAGTGTTTCAAGGGTGCATAGCCATTGAAATATATATGCCAATAGCTTCCGTTATTTATTTTGGTCTCTCGGCTTTAATGTCTATTGGCTTCTTAAAAACAGCGGGGATAAGCTGTTGAACTGCTGTTGTCTTTTGCCGGGCTCCGGTGATTGGCAAATCTGGGTGATGCCTTCTGATATGATTTAGCATGTTTGGCGTGTGTTACCATTAGCATACCGCACCACTGTCGACCAACGCCGACACACCGTCCTCGTCCGATCCACCACTCGCACTCCATCGTTATTGTAGTCCACAGGGAACCCGAAATGTTCCCACACAGCTGATTTAAACGAAGCAGGTGGGTCTTCTAGCTCCTGTGTGTTAACTGAAATCACCATACTAACTTTTCTTCTTCTTGTATTTTGTTCGTTTTGTTCAAGCCCCCAGGAAGTGCGCTGGACTCTGATGAAAATATTCGTTGTGTCCAAACGGCGGTACTACAATTTCCGTATCAGTCCGTGACGTCACTGGGCCAAGAAAGACTTTCCCCCATTGATTAACATTGGGAAAGAGACGTCTGTAAATCAGCGGATAATTAAAAAAAAACGAAATAAACTACCCAGTATGAACTATTTTATAGCCCTTATTATAATCATTCGGTCCTTAAAGTTCTAAAATGCACTAAAAGCCGAATCTAGATTTATTTTCTGTCCATTCATTCTACTGAGCCGAGAGTGGGAGCTCGGGGGGCGGGGCTTAAGGGGCGTATGCTCTGTGAGCGCACATACGGGTTATTCTGCTCTGACAGCTAGGCATGACGGGTAATCTGACGTTTCGCTCTCTTAAAAGTTGGGCCATTTTGTCCTCATGCGCCAATGAGCAGCTCTCAGGAAAGAACGAGACCCCGCCTCCGACGCTGTATCCAGTTCTTATTATACATCCATGGTTTTGTTGTGTTTTCTTCTTGTTCTTCATTTGTTGTTTAAGGGCGGCTGGCAAACAGCTTTTAGGCGCAATACCGCCCCCTGGATTATATATAGTGTAATGGATACTGCCCTGAGTGACAGACTTTATTCGTTGTGTGACTGCATGTGCCGAACCGTGACGGTTCGGGACGAATACGGATACCGTTACACCCCTAATCCACGGCCTTGCATTGACATTTTTTTATGCATTACTTTTCCTGATGTTTTAAGTTTTTGCTGCATTATCGATGTGCTTTAGGCAGTTATTGTATAAAAGTAATAATCTTTGTATGGGGACAACATTAATAGTGTAGTTCCTCATGGTCCTCTTTTTTGCCTCTTCACTTATCCTCCTCCTCCATGCCCCCCCATCCCCCAGAGTGCAGTTCCTTCTCTCCTCCAGCCACAGTCATCCTCCTTATACTCCTGTGCTTTGAGGGTCTCCTCTTCCTCATCTTCACCTCTGTGATGTTCGGCACCCAAGTCCACTCCATCTGTACGGACGAGACTGTAAGTGATCCATTTAGTGACCCACAATCCTCTCCTCTTGCCTCACTACTTCCTCCTGCTGCTCTCCTCCTGCCTCCCTCTAACATCTGTGACCTTCTCCTGATGAATCTGCTAACAGCTGAGTGACGTACTCGTTCTGTAGCCTGATGTACAATAAGGTGCTGCAAGTTTTAACTTCGACCGCAATGACTTTCTGTGAGTTAGTGTCTCATATGAGACAGCCTCACAGGTTACTTCATTCTGTTGTACACTTCAATAAGAGATAAACTTACCTAACCTATTCACACATTTACAGTAGCTAGCCTAAAGTCGACACATGAGTGCAAACTGGCTCCTAAACAATTTTTGGCTGCTCTGGGCTCTTGTACCGTAATGTATAAATGTGCAACGTGTGTAAGACACATATCTTCATTTATATCGCAGGCAACAAAATGGCACAGACAGGCGTACTATTTCAATTCTGTTATTTTATACATGCTGCTGTCCAGGGCCCTCATTTATAAACGGTGCGTACGCTCAAAAGATGGTGTACGCCAGTTTCTAAGCAAAATGTGCAGTCCTCCATGCAAACTCTGCCACAAAAAACGGGAGGGACGAGAAACTGCGACACCGTTGGCAGAAGGAAGAATAGAGAGAAATATGTGAAAATAAAACAAATATAATGTTACCTCATGTATCATATATGAAGAATTAATTCTAAAATTGATAGAAGCCAATCTTAAAATGATTAAACAAACGCCTGTTTGAGACTCCTCAGTGCACACAAAAACATAACTTGGAGAAATAAATATATACGGATATGTTATTGAAAACCACCTCGAATATGTTGTCTTAATGTTATGAAATGTATTCTCATAAATGATGCGGTATGCAGAAAGACAGAATTACGTCTAAACTGAGGCCGTTTTGCATTTCTATAGGTTGTATAGATACGAGCATGGTTTATACTATCATGTTTAATCATAGTTTTATGCCGTTTCCTAAGACTCGATAAGTCACTCATAAAACACAGCTGCGCACAGCTGATTGACAGCTGGAACACAAACCACCAAATAAAAAAATAAACATTGACTCCACTCCGCAGGGATCCCCCGATACTTTCTTACAGTTTCTCATCATGGGGGGGTCTCCTGTCCCCGGCACAAACACACTGACCACTGCCTGAGGAAAGTTAGGTTATGTGTATTTTTTCATTAACTTTTTTCGGACCACTTATTTATTTATTTTGGTGACGATCCGACCTCCATGCTGCTACTCTGGTTCAAACTGCATCCACCAAACAATGTGATTTGTCTCCACCTCCCCAAAATAACCAAAATCTGACACGGTGTGAAATGTCTTTTTTAGCTGTTCTGTCGTCATTTCCTGCGATCTTCTTCCTGCAATCTTCTTCCTGCAGTCAGTCAAAATGAATATTAATACGGGGCGTTTCTTTTGACTATTTATAGGCAAATATGGGCGTTACGTGAAGCCCGCAAAAGCTGCGCCGCATTTCGAGTTGATTGTGATTTATAAAGGGAAACAGGCGTAGGACATACGCAGTGTTTTATAAATCGGAAAATGTCTGTGCGTATTTATTTGCTTTGTGAATCCTACGCAAGGCTGTATAAATGAGGCCCCTGAGGCCTGTACTACGAAGCCGGATTTTTGCTTAGCGAGCTAACTTCAGGGGAAACTCTGGGTTTCCTGTCCTACGACGCTAGTTCACTTCTTAGCGGGCTAGATCTCCATGCAGCCGCGGCGTTATGGGTGGGCCTACTGGGCCTAGGCCCACCCACTCTGTCACTGGGCCCACCCATTCATTGATCAAAAATGACTGGGCGAAAATATAGTTTCCAACATTTTATAAACTAACGATTACATAATAAAATAAGAGCAAACATGTGTTTCCCTTTAAAAAAAAACGTAGAAAATTAAAAGCAACATGAATTAATGTAATCAGGCAACGTAAAATGTGAATTTGGACCGATCTCATAGTGGAAGCCCGGGAGCAAACACATCGTAGAACGTCTCGGGGGCGCGCGCAGATGAAGGAGGACAGTGGACTGGACAGACACAAAAAATATACCGCACTCACTAACGATGTCACAACAATCGATGTTCAGGTTTTCATTTGAAAGAGTAAGAAGAGTCATCCTCACAGCAGGTGCCGCCTTAGAGAGACGAGAGTGTGTTTAATGTTGTGCCCCAGCTGAGCTCAGTCCCTCTGCGGGACGTAGCACCCGTTGCAGGATAACAGAAAATAGCATCCCAGTGCCGGACCTCTCAGCCATAGATGACCCGGCGGCTCCACAGCCACATCTCATAAAGTACCCTCAGACACTTTTCGGACAAAAGAAAAGGAGCTCCGCTGCCCACTGGTATGACAAGTAGGCCTACACATTCTTGGAGTATAGCATTAGCAAGGACAGTGTGTTTTGTCAAATGTGCCGGCATTTTAGTCAGAGAGGCGGGGCCGGCGGAGAAGATACATTCAGTCGCCATGGTTACAGGGACTGGAAACACATCGACTATGCTCTCAGTAAACACGAATGCAGCGCAGCTCATGCAATAGCTATGGAGAGAAATACAAACTACAGACAGTGCGAGAAGTCTGACCATGGAACCATCCTCCATCAGCTACTCAACCCAGAGGGCCGACAGGGAGAGATCATTGAGAAAAATCGGGAACACGTAAAGTTTTACCGGACATAATTCTCACGTGTGCAAAGCAAGAGATTCCTCATTTCATATTGAGACTAAATATCTGGGGAAATGATTAAGAAACGTAGAGCTAAAATGTCATGCCATTTGCAACTACCAGAGCGCACCCAGACGCGGCAGGCATTCTCCAGCCCACATCAGCAACGCTTATGAGTGTGAAGCAACAGTATCTGCTGCCCAGCTGCTTTAGTATGAAACGTATACTTCAGCTCATGAAAGTTCTGCAGTATCAGAAGGAAGTAGCCTAATGATAAATCTGCAGCCTCTGAAAAGTGCCGCGTCAGAGAACCAGTGCCTTTTACGCACGGCCGCTCACTTCGCTATCCGCTAAAGGACAGCACGCTGCAGTCTAACCACACAGACACACATCAGGTGTTCGCTCATTATTCCATATTCTGCCGTTGTATGCTCTTTGTTTCTAAACGTATCAATGTATTGTGAACCAAAACTAAATAACATGCAGTATAACATTTATATTCACTCATTGCGGCGTGCCGCTTAATCATTTAAATAATATTTAAGCTTCTCATAAGTGAAAATGTTTAAAAGAGAAGGGTTTAGAAAAAGTGTCTTTACTATAGGAAATATGCATTACACAGTTGCCTACAATGATATGCAGGCATTTATTTTTATTACATTTTTGTTAACGAGAAACATCTATTAGAACAAGCCCAGCCGAAATTACATTGGCCCACCCACAATTGAAATCCTGGCGCCGCGGCTGTCTCCATGGTAACTTATGCTGAGCGGCTAACCTGCTCCGGAGCAGGTTAGGTTCCAGGATAAGAGATCAACTCCGTGAAAGCACAGCCTGCTGACCAATCAGAGCTCAGTGTGAGGAGTTTAAAGCTATCAAGTTATATTACAGGAGAAAGGAAATGCAGTTTAAACTGCCGTTGCAGGAAAGACGGCCGGCAAAAATCAACTGACTGTGTGAACGTGAAAATGAATAGAATATCCCCTCCCATCTTCAGAGCAATCTGACTATTATAACATTAGCGTTAAGAAAGCTTACTTAAATATCTGCCACAACATAAGTAACCGGATCAGAGTAACATTAAGTACAGTCCGCGGCACTGTGAGTGCAGACGGCGATGTGTCCCATTATCATTCATATCACATGATATCACATCATAATGTATCATATATTTCCTTATCTGAGTCAGCTTCTTGAGCCGTATCTGGCCGTGCAACACTTACAGTGTCACATACTGTATGCAGAAGTATTATTTTAAGCAACACAGCACTAATCCTGAAACTAACCCTTACCTTAAGAAGAATCGGAATGTGCTTCTAAAAAATTGGAAATTGGACTTTACCAAGAGAATTGCAATTGGTGCCTTTCTAGTCGTCTCATAGAAAGGTAAATGTGTCCATGTATCAGTGAACAAAGGAATCGGTTCCCTCTTTATGTTCAGTAGTTTGGTGATATCCTAAAATCATTCAGCCAATCTGTGTGCCTGTGTTTAGGAGCTCACCAAACCAAACTCCTTCTCCTGCTTTTAACTTCTTTTTGTCTGCAACTCTAGGTCAGATTTACATTATGGGATACATTTGATCATTAAATTGAGGAGAGAGGTGTAGGGAACTGGACATCGAGGAGAGAAAGGCACCAGGACACAAGCCCCATGTTGTGTTTGTGTAGAAATCACTTAACACTGGTTTGTCGCCCGCATGATTTTTAGGAACGTTTTCTTGTGTGCTTTTTTTTTTTCTACATTTAGTGACTTAAAAGAGTCCCTATTTGGAATATGATTTGATAACAGGCTGGGTCACCAACTGAAGCAAACCAACTGAAGTTTGGTTGTCTCTCATTTTCAGGGCATAGAGCAGTTGAAAAAGGAAGAGAGAAGATGGTCTAAAAAAACTAAGTGGATGAACATGAGGGCGGTATTTGGACACCCTTTCTCCTTATTGTGGTTTAGTCCCTTCTCCACCCCTGACCATGGAAAAGCTGAGACCTATCAGTATGTGGTGTGAGGGCTCAGCAAGGAGGCTCCCCCCCCCCCGTAGAGCTCAGTGTTGTTCCCAACACGGTTGTACATTGTGCCATTGTATCTCCCACACTTTCCATCTGCTTTTTATATTTCCATCCATGTGCGCTCTCCGTTTATTTTGTGTTGCCTTCAGTGAGCTGAGTTGCAGAGAAAAAGAAAGCACTTTGAGTTTGTGAATCCTGTTTGAAAACACTGAATCTGTTCTTTCCAGCTGTTTCCATGTCTGTATCAGGTGCCTTCTCTTCTGTGTTCACTCTTGCTTTCTCTTAAGGGATTATTTTGGTTACAATGAAAAAAACAACATATTTTCACTAACCCCTAATTATGGTTTACAATGCTGATAGTTATAGTTTCAGATGTTGACGATTCAAGATATCCACCCCTGCAAAACAATAGAATATATCGGAATTAAACGTAGTGACTATATTTTCATATGTCTAATAACTTGAAATGTAGGATCATTGTGTGTTGTTTCCTAATAATAAGTCCTTCATATGTTCATAGGTGCACCAAGTTGCACCGTAATGTTTCTACAGTGGCCCAGAAAGGACAAACCAAACACTGGCTCTGAAGGTGGTTTTGGGGTTTTTCGTTACCTGAATGCCAGTAAATGTTAATTACTTACTAACTGGTCTCCATTGTAACCTGGACTTTGAATTTTTCCAGATTTTCAAATTGTGGAATCACCCCAAACAAGATTACATGAATCTTCATTGTAAAAGGTGGAAAATAATAATCCTTGACAAATAAACCCCAAGTTATCGGCATTACTACAAAAATACTGGTGGTTAGTGGAACATTTTATTTTTGTCATCTGGATGAATTGACCCTTTAAAATCATAATTTTGTCACAGTAATCAATAGTGTGTTGCAAAATGTTGAATAGTTCCCACTACAATGGTGAGGTTCGAGTAGATTCATAGAATCAGTCTTCCTTTGCGAGCTATCTGCAAACAGATCCATTCTCAATAGTGCCAAAAACTGCATGAGGAACACTCTGCCATCAGGACAGTGGGCCTTTGGTCAACTTGATTGTGATAGAAAATACTTATCTGTGCCCCCCCACCCGAGACAGATCAGGTAACTGACAGAAAGGAGAACATGTTCAAAGTGATCCCTGATACTCACATGACTTTTACATGACAGTATGAAGAATCCCTCTGAAACTACATACAATGCCAAAAAAGCTGCAGTTTTATCATATATTTTTAACAATACTTAATTGTTGCCCAAGTGTGGAACATCCTCCCTGATTCTTCTCTGATACATGCTTGACATAACAAAATCAGATTTCACCTAAACCAGCCTGAGAGTCTGTTTGAATCACCAGACAGTATTGTGTGTGTGTGGGTAAGCTTAGATTTAAAGGCCCCATGTCATGCTTTTCCGGTTATTACCCGTCCCCTTGTGTGTTATGAAGGTTTTTCTGCATGTAAATGGTCTGCACAGTCACAAACCCTCAAAGTACACCCTGTACGGAGTAAAACTCTAACACAGAAAAGACCTGTCTATGCTGCCCCAGAATGCCTCGTTGGAGATTTCTCATTTTCCATTTGTTTCTTCCGGGAACCGCATGACGTCATGCGGAACCAAAATGGACCAATCCGCGGAGCTCCTCACACACCAGGATCCCTTGGCGTCACTATCAAACGCAGTGGGGGGACCATTAGCGTACATTTTCAACTAACAGGGAGTCCCATACCAGTAAGCCAGCTCACTGAGCAGCGAGCATCGCAGCGTCCCGACCAATCAGAGCACACTGGGCTCATAGGGAGGGGGGGGGCAGGAGCTCCAACAAGCCGTTAAGGACAGAGAGTGAATACACATACTATACAGAGATGCTGTATGAGAAAACAATGTGATTTTGGAACATTGCACAATATAAATCTATTTTAGTATACCTCAACAATGGAATTATGATCAGTAGAAATGGCCATGACATGGGACCTTTAAAAACTCAGCTTTAAAATTACAATAGTTTTCTGTGGGGAGTCATTATATAAAATGTATAGCTGTGCATACATCCTATGATTATGCAGCAGGATATTTCTTGACTGTATTTATGCACTATTTGAACCTCCTCTAAAGCATTTCATAACGTCTTAACTTTCATCATTCTCATTTACGAAAGTACTAGAAATGCAAATTCCTTCTTTGTATCATTTGAGATGTTCTCCTGTGAACTGCTTCCTCTATTCTTTATTACGTGTGTAATGTTGTTTTATCTGAATGCATGGCACAGGTGAGGTCAGTAATGTATGTCAATCACAGCCGGTATGATGAAGGCCCGCTGGTGAGAATGATGCTGGAGATGATTTGTTTTTTACAGACATTTTAATTAGAACAAAATAATTTAATTATTTCAAAATATTCTGAAAATAATTCAGCACAAGTGCAGAGAATAAATACTTCTCAGTTGCAATGCAACAACTGTGTTTGCTTGCTTTTTCCAATGTATTAATTGACTCTTTAAATGTGAAGCTGGTACAGCCAGATGTTTCAACCTCTTTATTTTCCTGTTTAAGGTTTCTTCTCTCCCTGCATACAGTCCTCTCACTCCCTGCATTTTGACATTTTCACTCTGTCCTTCATTCTATTCCAACTTAACTGTTTATTCCTCTGTCCCATGCTATGCTCTTTCCACACTCATGCAATGCTTTGGTTGATCACTCATTGTGTCCTGAGCTTTCTGAAGCAGAGCCCTGTTTGTAGTCTTGATGAGGTAAGCTTGCTACAGACTGTAAGTCACACGGACGTCCCATCAAGCTTAACTCATCACCAGCATGTCCATGTGGAGGCCAGAGTGCTTCAGGTCTCCTTTTTACAGATTGAACCCAACATGACAGATGAATGAGAGCTCTGTGTGTGACAGGAAGCATGCACCATGTTGACCATGTGACTTGTTCTTCTGCAGGGTTTTCTTTATTCCCAGTGCATGTGAGTCATTTTGGACAGTATTTATTTTGAGCAGGTTTCTTAGAAGATTAATCAGAACTGATAGAGCATTTAAAGGATGGAGTAAAACTAGTTATTGCAACACTTGTATGTGTTATGTACTTTGAAAGAATAGCTACGCCTCCTGTCTGTACTGGCCATGAAGACATCTGAGTTGGAGGTAGCCAAAGCTAGTAAATCTTTTCTAAACGTGCCTTTTAAAAAAAAAAAAAAAAAAAAAACATTTTGGACAAGCAAGATCTTACTTATTTCATCACTTCATTCACATAACCCAGGTTGCTTTATTGTGAAATACCTTGCACAACAAACATTGTGGTCAGTAACACTGCTCCTGTTGCATCTTTATGTATAGATACATATTTGATATATATGGCTGGGTCTTTTCCTTTTTTTTGTGTTTGTGAAGAGAACACCAACCGGTCAACAGATTAGTAACAAAGCCTTTAGAGGACCAGCCTGAGGCATGTTCCAGTTTTAATTTGCACAGGATGATCAACTATGTAACTATGGTTTGATGATGACATATGTAATTTTCCTCAAGTTTGAACAGTTGACTTTGGAATGAAACCTGACAGTCCCAGTGTCTTCCTGTCAGTTGGTACAATATCCCCCTTTGGCTTCTTACTGTTTGAGGATCCCTTCCAATTCAGGCCTGGATCTTTATTTGGAAGAGAGTGCTACATGGCCAATAAAGACAGGACTTATTTTAGAACCTAGACTTATTACTCTTTCAACATACATACAGCAAATGAGTATTGTATTAAGATAGACAAGAATGTGAACCTATCCTTTAGATGTAATCCAGAAGCTTTTTTCCTGGACCCTTTTTAGTCTGATTGGTGTCTGAGAAACCACAGAGCTAATCATAGTGTGTCGCTGCAGTCATCATCCCTGTGTGTTTGTTATGCTTGATAGTGCATGTATCACATGACTTCTGGTCCTTTTTGGCTCAGCTCTGCTCTCCTCAGACCCTCACTGTGAGTTCTCCTGCAGGGCATCGAGCGTCTGAAGGGAGAGACGGGGAAGTGGGGGAAGGTTCCGTGTAGGGAGGCCATGCAGATGGCGTTTGGCGGCCCCTTCTCTCTGTCCTGGTGCAGTCCCTTCGCAGGGCTGAGCTGCACACGGAGCCCTGCCGAGCACACCCCCCTCCCCCAGGGGGACATCATCGAGGAGGACGTCATAGAGATACCGTTTACCTAGCCCCGCCTGGGCTCAGGAAGACATTTTATTTTTCAGTCTTGGAGGTTTCTCTACATGGACTTGGCTTTCTAATGGGATGCACCAACTCCAGCTTTACCCTAAAACTCAATGATTGCAAGCCAGGCGAAAACGCAGGAAAAGCTCTTTTGTTGCATTCATAATCCCCCGGTAATGAGCCCAGTGTCGGGGGATTTCTGTCACAGGTGCAATCATTTGTGAAACCTCTGTGTACTTTGCGCCCTCTTCCACAATTTACCAACTTTCCAAAACATCTGGTCCCATCTGCGCTGAATCCAAGTACACTATGTCCCCCATAAGACCCAACAGGGCTTTATAAATAGAAAGAAACCACTTGGATTTTATTTATGTTTTTATTTTTAAAGATTTTATGTTATATCACATGTAAAACTTCCATGTTCTTGTACAGAACAGTTGCCTTTTGTTAATACTTTTACCAAACTAGCAGTGCAGAATGTTCTTGCACACACCCTAACCTGCAGTATTTTCCTGAAAGCATTGTGTAATTACAGTAGTATAACTCTGCCAGGTGTCTGACTCCAAACATATTTTCTATCTAAAATTATTAGTTGCATAATATACCAATTTATTTTTTATTTGTGTAGATAAATATATATATATATTACAGTATACTCTGGCTCTACAGGCTGCTTTCTCTCTCTGCTTGCTGAGCACCAGCTGAGCGTTTCATGTTCATAAGAGGCAGACCACTTGGCATTAGCTCGGAAAATCGAAAGACCATCAGGAATATGCTCAGCTGTGTGAGTGGTTCTAGATCTTTGGAGCCATACCAAATAATTATTAGCTACATTAAAAAAACTAACTTTGGCCAAAAAAACGTACTGCCATTTGTTCAGCTGTGTATTGAGTTATGTTAGCTGTAAGCGCTCAGCCAAACACACCACCCTAACTGTCCAAACTTAGACCCAGCAGCAGGATGAGGGTGGTGGTCAGTCAGTGGCTAATGACAGTATTAGGTTCTTTAAAACTTGTGATTCACCTTAACCCGGGAAGTCCTTAAGCATAGACATAAATTAACACCAAGAATATAAGGCTTATTTGTCCAGCATTATGCAACATTAGTTGTGGACAAACAGTGATGCACACACGGCTGACTGCAGGATCCCCTGGCCAAGATACAGAAAGTGGTTGCAGAACCGAGTACTGACACCTTCCAGCTCCTCCTCTCCAAAGCCTTTCTGATCTGAGAGGATGAAGGACTTTCAAAGGTCCATTGTGTAGGGTTTAGTGGGATCTAATGCTGAGGTGGGTGATTGCAACCAACTGAATGAATTTAACTTTGTGCCTTAAATGTATTGACAAGCAAATATAACAGTGTTGGGAGAAACACTTTATATTAATGTTTAATAACTCATGTGTCCAGTTCTGCTGTCTGTTTCTGGATATGCCATTTTCAGTGAATGACTTCATGTGGATGAGATCATTGTGTCGTTGAGTAAACAGCAGAATAAGGGCTTTTAACTGTTAAACGGGTGCTGGGTGTCATGGGACCATTTTTCAAACTGTGTGATCATTGTGTGTTTTTTTTAAATTATTTTAAAAGGAATCTATTATATGTATCTGTACATTATACCATACTGTTTGTAAGCATTTAATATTTTTTTACAGACTCACCCTCAGTTTTACATGAGATAAAAAAGTATTTACAATAAAATGGGAAAATGGACTGTTGGCTGTTTTTAATTAATAGAACAGGAATGGTTTCAGTGGGACACTCTTCAGGGAAAGGTCTAGCATAAACGCTGGGCTTCTTCATCAATAATGACATTGTATGTAAGAAATGTGTGTTCTTCTGAGGGGCATTGCTTACTTCCTGTGTCTACTGAGCACTATCACTAGATGGCGCCAAACTTAAGATGTTGAAACAATCATGTCCGATCTTTATAGGGAACATATCATGCTCATGTCATTGATTTGTACTCTTCATTTTCTCTGCAATGTAACATGTTTACTCTCCAATCTGTTTAGATACAGCTGTATCCCACTTTGTCTGAAACCATCCATTTGTCTGTGTGAGACCCCCTCACTCATCTGTGATGATTCGCCTACATCTTTTCTTGTGTTAAACCCTCTGTAATCATATTTAACCCACCAGCTCGCTAGATAAAAATCCCTTTTATAACTCACTCTTAAATGAAATGCATTTACACTTACACAAAAATGTATAACATTAAAGCTCACCTATTATGCTATATTCGAACAATATATTATTGGGCCATATCTATACAAAATAGCGTTAAAATACCAAACAGATCACCCATTGTAGCATGCCTCATACCCCTCTAATTCAGCCCTGTTATGCCCCTTTTCTACCAAACCGGTTCCAGGGCCGGTTCCGGGCTAGAGCCTGACTCAGGTGCCGTTTACACGAGGACAAAACGGCTTGTATCTGCATAGTTTCTCTTGCGTATAGCCCTATTTTTTACATGAGGCCGATAGAAACGGACCCCACAAACGATAACGGGTCCCAAGGTGGATAGATTTGCAAACGAAACTCTCTGGGGGGTCAAACGAGTCCGTGTAATCGCCTCTATACGAATATTTCCTGAAAAAATAACGATAGCCCCACCTCTCCTGCTCACTGCTGTAGCATGGCCAGTAGCCATCTGTAACGATCAACTATCAAAAATAGCTGTGTTAATTAAACGCACAAGGGGTTCTTGAATGAAATAATATTATAAAAGGCAAACCAGAATTGTTAACGCCCAATATACTCCTTAAACAAAATAAACAGAGTCAGATTTCATGCATTGATCCATTATATTGACAATTTTCCAGCCAAACAACACAAACAAAATTAAACAGTCCGCTCTGCGATACACCAACATTGTCTTTACTGCCTAATCCAGGCCATTATTGTTCATTGCTCCTGCGCCCGTCGGCGGCAAAAAGAGAAATGTTTGTAGGCCTATTCAGGCTATAATCCACACAAAAAAAGGAAACACGAGGACCGGCGTGTCCCAGAGGAGCGATCTCACCCGGTGTTTGTAGAGAATATCTCTCTTTCTGAGCGCGTCCTCTCCACGGAGACGTGCTTTTTGGTCGGTCGATGCAATATCCACAGATTCGGTTTCTTTCAGTTAACTTCCCCGTTGCATTTATCCATATATTTACATGCTGAGGAAATGACTATATCCCGCTGAATACCAGCAATCGCCACACACACTTCCTCCTGTCAGTAGCTACTGCTAGTGCTACTGCTACTGACCATGCTACAGATATTAGTGCAAAATATACAGCTCCTCTACCACAACCATCAGCAACAAGTGGACATGGAGAATTACATGAACTACATGTTGCTAAATCCACCGCGGGGCATAAACAGAAGGGTAGCCATGGCAACATTGCTCCGGGCTGCTTCGGGGTCTTCTTCGCTGCTTTTCGTGTATTTTGTGGCGGAAGTTACAGCGCCACTTACCGTCCCGGCATATGTACTACAGCGTGTCCAGCGGTCTCGTTTGAACAGACACGTTAAATGAAACGAATGCATGTGAACGGAAGACTTTTTGGAAAACGCATACTGTGCATAAACGCAAACGTTCCCGTGTGCACAACGCCTTAAACTAGGTTTCTTCCTGTTTCCACCGCAGCGGAGCCGGCTCTAAGCACCGAAAACCGGTTCTTAGCTGGCCCCACTCGGCTGCCCGGCAAGAACCAAGAACCAATATGTCACGCTTACGTCGGAGGGGGGCGAGATTAACCTGAGCAATAACAGTTCATGGCGAGTACGGCAAATAAAAGTTGTAACAAGCAGTAGCGCTGAGCAAAGTGACTAGAATGCGACCACACACTTATAAAAAACAAACTCACTTTATAAAGTCAGGCAACACTAACCAGGCTTCGTGTGATTTATTTTTTACCTTACTTGAACCATCCGTTCGCTGTTATTGATCATTGTGGAGAGCAAGCAGACGTTTTCCTGTTTTGTATTATAGCAGCTATCGGATGGAATCAATACATGGGGAACACAGGTTGTCATGTCCGACTATCACAAGTAGAATCATAATGAAAAATACGTCTGTAAAATGTGCCTGTAGAAAACGGCTTATGCCACAATAGGATAGCAACAAGTAATCAAGATAGTCAGATTATCTTCGGTTGCTATGCTAACATCACCCATTTTATACCAGAGAAACTTTTAGAACAGTGTTGTGATGCCAAACAGCCTCAATTCATACTAAAACACATTCACTTATGGGGATGGGGGATATTTATCAGCTGCTTGAGTGCCAGTCAGACAGTGAATACCTTCCAGGGGCCGCTGCCGTGAGTTAACGGGAGAATAAACTCTGCCATGAGTTATATATCCTTTATTTAACCAGGTAAAAAAGACTCATTCTGTTATGCTACGCACAAAATTCTTTATTATACCGCCGGGTTATTTTGCACCTCTTCTTCTCCCACATTCCACATTGCAGAAACTCTGTTCGAACATCAAAACGTTCAGCTCGGTCGGGAATCGATGGCTATTACTTTTATCATTCATAACTTTCATAATTCCAGAGATACATCCCATAATACATCACATTTTTAACATGGAAGTCAATGGAGAAACTCTTCAGACTTGAACAATCTTCATGCAACTTCAACTGCTAACTGCTCCTTCATACTTTCACTCAGAAACCTCATTCCAACTTTAAAATGTTACACATCTTTCTGACATTATTCGTGTAACACAACTTTTAAATCTGATTCTTACTTTTAGAGATATTAAACATTGTTCAGACCTTGTTAAAGAGGTTTTCTTCAGATTTTAGAGTGCGTGATGCCACAGCTAGAGTGGAGGACAGATTTAATTTTGCCTTCATATTTTCTTTTAAACCTGCCATAATTCCCAAACCCTACATTCCTGAGACATAATCTTTCATGACAAACGTAGGAAAACATCTCGTAGCTTGAAAAATAAAAAAAAATGAAGCAAAAATAATTAAACAAAATGCCTCTTGAGGGCATGAAGTGACAAAAACGTTCAACATGTCTCTATTAAACCCCATTGTAAGTTCAGCCTCATCGATCCCCACCACAGCAGCCGCACACCTTTAGTTAATCTGCCAAAAAGGCCACATTATTAACCCGAAAGTACACAAAAAGTACACTTCAGATGCTCAAGTACCTTGACATGCTTCACGCTTTGAAATTTCACCGATATCTTCTACGGTTCTTCAACAAAACGTTCACATGTAAGAGGTTTATCTCTCATTATTACATGGCTTAGTTGAATACTCAATTCTGATTGGTCAATTCAGAACACGTGACACGTTGTTAATCCAGAACAGACAGACCGCTGTCAAGGATTTATTGACCGTTGTTAAGGACGCTCACATCTGCACAAAGAAGTCCGTTCGATTTAACTGTGTATACAGTTTTGGCCGAAAAGCAAACTGCATGCAAACAGCGGAGAAGTAACGGGCAGAAACCCTCCTTTTTACACAGCGTCCAGACATAGACATCAAACGGCGACACATATTCAGTTGCCAGTTACTTTGGCATTAGGGCAGGGATATCTAGATACTTTCCAAGGTTTGACATAATGATGTTTTCAAATCTGTAATCAAAAAGCTCCGCCTTCCTGCCGTTGCTACGTTTTTCAAACGGTAACAACGGACTATTTTCCTTAGCGGATGCATGTCAATTTAAATCAATACATACAACAATTTTTTAAATCAATAAAATCATTTTCTAAATCCATAAAAGCATTTCAATTAATAGTGGGAGTCATATCATTACTTTGTTGAGAATGTGGCCATGTAATAAGCGGGATAATGTGCAGCGACTTGGTCATTATGGGGAAAAGAACACCTTCATGCAGATCTAGATCCCTCCGCTTCGCGTCGGGCTCCTGATCAGCCTGTCGGTGTTCTTTTCCCCATAATGACCGCGTCGCTGCACATTATCCCTTACTTAAGAACAATGAAAATGCTCTCCTCTCACTGATCACCATGGAAATCTCTGATCTCTGGACACGTTGTTAACTCAAATATAAACACCTGTGTCATGGAACACGATGATGTCATAACTCCAACTGACATGCTCAGAGCAGCAGACTTCAGATAATGGTTAATGGTCCTGCCCTCAACAGCTCTACGTCAATTATGGGGTTTCATCATATGCCATTTCGCCATAAAAGACGATGTCGCTATACATTAACTCCTATGAAAATGTTCAAAAAGTGCTCAAACTTCACATGTGTGCTAACAGTCCAGTCGTGAAGACATCTACGGGACAGTTTTGAGATTTCTTCAAATGCCGTTGCCATGGCAACACAATGCTCGCCATGAAACAAATGCTCCAAACGGCCCAAAACTTCACAGGTTTGGTAACGATGCAGCCATCAACGCATCTAAGCGTATTATGGGATGTCATCAAATGCCGTTGGCATGGCGACAGATCATTCGCCATCAAGTTAGTTCAAAAGTTTGCAGTTCAAATATTCTGCTGCTTTTCCAAGCCTTTTTACTTTCTTTTCTTCTCTCATCACACATTCAAGCCCCCAGTGTTCATGTATCATTTCAATCTAAATTCTTCACTTTCTTCTTACACATTACATTTCAGCATAGCAGTTTAGCGTCAGCTTTTCAGCATAAAGCATTCCCACTAGCAATTTCTTCAGGAATTGCATTCTCTAGTTGAGATTAAAATCTCTTTTCCAAGAGTGACCTGGCCAAGA